AAAACTGTCCCAATACCCACATAAAAACGAGAATCCAAGGATAAAATTCCCAAGGAATAAATCCTGGATGATCTCCTGCACCAGGAAGTGCAGCATTCCCCGGCTGTGCAAATATAAAACCCAGAAATTCCACCCCACCAAACCCTCCCAATAAATCCACATAAAACCAGGAATTCATGGATACAATTCCCAGGAATTAAAAGCAGGATTACCGAGGTCCCGGATGATCTCCTGCACCAGAAAGGGCAGCAGCCATGGCTGTGCAAACCCTCCCAATAAATCCACATAAAACCAGGAATCCATGGATACAATTCCCAGGAATTAAAAGATTATTGAGGTCCCGGATGATCTCCTGCACCATGAAGGGCAGCAGCCATGGCTGTGCAAATATAAAACCCAGAAATTCCACCACACCAATCTCTCCCAAAACCCATAAAACCAGGAATCCATGGAAGGAATTCCCAGGAAATAAATCTTGCATTAGCCAGATCCTGGATGATCTCCTGCACCATGAAGGGCAGCAGCCATGGCTGTGCAAACCCTCCCAATATCCACATTAAAAATGAGAATCCATGGATACAATTCCCATAAAAAGCAGGATTACCCAGGTCTCAGATAATCTCCTGCACCAGGAAGTGCAGCAGCCATGGCTGTGCAAACCCTCCCAATAAATCCACATAAAACCAGGAATCCATGGATATAAATCCCAGGAAATAAAAGATTACCAAGGTCCCGGATGATCTCCTGCACCATGAAGGGCAGCAGCCATGGCTGGGCAAATATCATAAAAAACCAGCAACTCCACCACACCAATCCCTCCCAATAAATCCACATAAAACCAGGAATTCATGGATACAATTCCCAGGAATTAAAAGCAGGATTACCCAGGTCCCGGATGATCTCCTGCACCAGGAAGTGCAGCAGCCATGGCTGGGCAAATATCATAAAAACCAGCAACTCCACCACACCAATCCCTCCCAATAAATCCACATTAAAAATGAGAATCCATGGAAGGAATTTCCAGGAAATAAATCTTGCATTACCCAGATCCTGGATGATCTCCTGCACCAGGAAGTGCAGCAGCCATGGCTGGGCAAACCCTCCCAATAAATCCACATAAAAACCAGGAATCCATGGAAGGAATTCCCAGGAATTAAAAGCAGGATTACTCAGATCTCGGATGATCTCCTGCACCATGAAGGGCAGCATTCCCCGACTGTGCAAACCCTCCCAATAAATCCACATTAAAAATGGGAATCAATGGAAGGAATTTGAGGAATTAAAAGCAGGATTACCGAGGTCCCGGATGATCTCCTGCACCATGAAGTGCAGCAGGCACATAAAACCAGGAATCCATGGAAGGAATTCCCAGGAAATAAAAGGATTACAGAGATCTTGGATGATCTCCTGCACCATGAAGGGCAGCAGCCTTGGCTGGGCAAATATAAAACCCAGAAATTCCACCACACCAAACCCTCCCAATAAATCCACATAAAAACAGGAATTCATGGATACAATTCCCAGGAATTAAAAGCAGGATTACCCAGGTCTCAGATGATCTCCTGCACCAGGAAGTGCAGCAGCCACATAAAAACCAGGAATCCATGGAAGGAATTCCCAGGAAATAAAAGGATTACAGAGATCTTGGATGATCTCCTGCACCATGAAGGGCAGCAGCCATGGCTGTGCAAATATCATAAAAAACCAGCAACTCCACCACACCAATCCCTCCCAATAAATCCACATAAAACCAGGAATTCACGGACACAAATCCCATAAAAAGCAGGATTACCCAGGTCCCGGATGATCTCCTGCACCATGAAGTGCAGCAGCCATGGCTGTGCAAACCCTCCCAATAAATCCACATAAAACCAGGAATTCATGGGCACAAATCCCATAAAAAGCAGGATTACCCAGGTCCCGGATGATCTCCTGCACCATGAAGTGCAGCATTCCCCGGCTGTGCTCGGGGTGCAGGAAGCTCAGGAATTCCTGCTCGCTCAGCAGCAG